GTTCAGAATTAGGGGTTGCCCTCCTAACACATGGGTGGTCGGGTGAACCACAAACTGAGCAGCCCTGTTGCCAGTGGGTGTCTGGTGGCACAGAGGAGCTTGGGATGGCAAGCAGTCGTCATGTCACTTATCTCCAAGGCATGAAGTGGACCGGACCTACCACCCCTCGCTGGGCCACTGTGAAAGGAGCACCGCCAGCCACATCCTTGAGGGCAGCCGTCACTGTCTCAGCAGAGAAAAAAGGTGCTCCGTAATAGTCACTGCAGGACTCGGGCGTGAAGCAGACCGAGATGAATCCAGGACGAGGAACGATTGACACGTGTGCCTCAATCCATCTGAAGAGAGAAAGGAGTCCTCTTGTGGGAGCTGAAAGTGGGAGGCGGTGGGAAGCCAGTGACCATAACAGCATCTCCAGCTCTTCGGAGAGGCCAGATTCACGCTGCTTTGTGCCTTATGTGGTTATAGTCAATCAGCATTACCCTGATTCACCCCAGGGTGTCCAGTCAAGGTGTGACTGCCCAAGCAGTCCTGTTGACTCTGCATTCCCGTGCCTGCAAAACAGCTCAAATGCAAGGCGTTACTTTTCCCTGGATGCGGAAAGCCGCCTGTAAGGGACTGACTGCCGACGGTTGCCAGAGGACATTGGGGCATTCGTTGTCCAGCAGACAAGTGGGTCTCAATGGGACCTGCTGCTCAGTACAAGCCAGTTCTTCAGGGCCTGATCCTGAAACAAAGGGGGAGGGGACAGGGACGGGGCATTTCTTTGAGAGCAATTGTCCTCTCATCTTCCTGTCTTTGCCAACCTGTGGCCAGTGCCGTTGTGCTGCTAACAAAGGGTCCAATGTGCCAGGGACTGAGCACCTGCCACTGCATCTTGCAGGACCGGGTCTCATGACAGTGCAGAAAGGTTGTCTTTTTCCACCCCACAAAGGCTCAGCTCCTCCAAGTGAGACAGTGGAGATGCATGCACGAGCTGCAGGCTCATTCTGCTTCATCCTGAGATGCCCTGGGGGTTTCCAGTGCCTGGGAATCGGGAAGGACCTTGATTCCCAGCCTAGCAGAGCCATGATTTTGTCATCTCTGGGTCCCACTTTGCAAACAGCATGAGACGAGCTGCTGTCCCTGGGGTAGGGAACGATCCTGCCACGCTTCCAAGACCCTGACCCCACCAGTTGTGTGTGTCTATCCCCACCCCGAAGCCCCTAGGAAATGTTAAAGGATAACTGAACGCTCCACATGGCAGGGGAGACAGTGTGTCTGGAGAGGAGTTGGGGGTAGGATCACCTATGCGGCTGATGCAGAGTTGTATGCACACCCCCAAAATGCCACAGTACATACCAAATTAACCATTTAATGCCTGTCCCAGCACACTGCCTAGGGAACGCTGTTGCAATGGGATGTGTGCCTTGCTCAGACACCAGGAGTCCTGTGCTCTCCAACCTATTTATGTCTCCTAGTGCACTCAGTTGGCTTGATTCTTCTTTCATGGATGCTGGTCTCAATCAGGAGCTTCTCCACCTCCCCCTGCATTTTACATCAGTGATATAAAATGAAGATGATCAGCGCCCAGGCCAGTGAGTTATTCATTGCAGTCATAAGCTGTCACATATTGTTATTCACATGGGCAGTGTTTATCTCTTTAATAACCTTTGCCAAAAGCAATATTACAGTACAGCACACGATATCCTGGCAACTGCATTGTGGTGCAAGCTGTTTTGGCCCGTTGCTTTGCTAAGGAGGTGGAAAGAGTTAAAAATGTGGCCTCAAATGCTGACCTGATTCCTCCTTCCCCTTCAGTATGTGAACTGGAATGATACATGCAGGGTAGTTTTAAAGCTGGGTCTGTCCAGATCAAGCAGGAGCAGGGACTTGGTAGAGGAAATGTTGTGGAAGCAGCTATTGCAATCTCTGGGGTAAATGCCACATATCAGGGCTGACTTTTTTTCTTTTCCCCCATATTGTGGCTTCCTCTTGCATGTGCAATGGTGTACATGTGCTCTTCCACCAGTTTCCACTACATGTGTGGCTAAATTTGCACATATAAAACCTGCTTGTCTGGTATTGATCACAAGGGAGAGTTAAGCAGTTGTTGCTTTTAAAGATGCTTTAATTTGTTTATGGCCTGCAATCATGGGTTAAGTCTTGAACCTTTCTGTGTTTAGATGCGTGGTAGAGACGATATTCAGCTGTCGGCACGGGACTGGTGAAAGGCCTGTGCACCAAAGAAATTCCCCTTAAACTCTGTTTAGGACCTAGGTAGGACTTAACACTTCTACTGTGCACTTAGGCATACTTTACTTCATGAAGAAAGCAGGCAGCAGTGATGAAATGAGCACGGCTGGGGTAGCCTCAGCCCAATGCACCAGGTGTTCAAAAAAACCCAGAGTCTAAATTTAAAATATTTGCTTGCAATTAAAAAGAGGAGCTGAAATCAATTTTGTCTGTGCAATTCTCCCTCCTCCCTCTCCCAGTCTTGTGCCTAGAAGTGAAGAGACCCATGTACCAAAGTGGAAGAGCCCAAGCTGTTTTCTTTGCTGGGAAATGCACAAAGTAAAAAAGTAAAATCAGTGAACATGAAAGCAGTTTTAGATCTGGAGAAGTCGAATGGGCAGATGACTTCCCTATGGGGAGTGCAGGGGATAAAACAAATACAACTTCAGAGATATGTACTAGTGCTCTCTACAAATGACTGAAAATCCAGAATCGACTTTAATGTGCATTGGCTCAGAGCTGTCATTTTCTACTAAATTTTATGGGGTGGTTCAGGGGAAAAAGAAATAGTTCTCATTCTCTAGGGCATTTGGTAGAACTTTGCCTTGAGGGAATAGCTGAATGTACTGTCAGTAACCTTGTAACAGTGTTTTTTAATATTAATCTGATAGTTCCCCCTTAAACCAGCACAGTTAAGGTTTTTAAGTCCTTAATTATTCTTCAGTAAATTGAGAACAGAGTCCTGTTCCCGGCCACGCCATCTGGACTTGATCCTACATGCCACAGCTGGGCTCTTGGGAAATCTCGACTCCGAGCACTGAAATACGAAATATATGCTGATGGCTCAGGCAGGGCTTAAGTATTACGTGGCGCACTAGGCTGTTTGCAAACGCGTTCTCCGGTGCTCCCTTCCTCCCTCAAATGGAAAGTCAGGACAGGGACCCAGCGGAGTTTGTAAGGGCGCTTTGCAACCTGCCCTATGGCAGCAAGGACTGAGCTGTGACTTAAGGTCACAGTGCCTTTCACTGGGCACATGACTTCCCTCTCCACCGGCTTAACAGCATGATAGGAGGCAGTGTCACTGCCAGCCTACTTGTTGGGGAGAGATGTGTCGGCTCCTCACCAACTACCTGTCCCCTCTGCATTGTGGGCCACGATGCTTGGTGCCCATGTAGAGGGGCACCACCTACATCCAGGTTCACCTGCGCTGGGGACTAGCCCGGCTTGTGACTGAGCCTTACAAGAACCAACCTGCATGCACTCGGAGAAGGGGTAGAGAGCACTGCCTTAGCTGTGCTCTCCAAAGGGCTATACGAAACTCTTCCCAAGTGGCTTTGTGTTGGCAGAGCACCCTGCCACCCTGTCCCCCACCCCAGCTGATGCTGCAGCACTGCAGCCTGGCATCCTGCTGTTCCAACAGGCCGAGTCCTCGGGATGAGCTGGGAGCTCAGGGTGCTCTACAGGACCAAAGGCAGCAGGCACTGGCGGGCTCCATCCTCACAGGCCTGGTGCAAACAGAGCTTCCAGTGACTTGGGTAGGAGAGAGGCAGGGTTAGGCAACACAGACCATTGTGACTGTGCCCTCCTAGTTAATGCTCCCTGCTAACAGAGCATTAACTAAATGCTCTGTTAGCTAAATCACATAGGACAATGCCCAATAGGGGAGAACTCGGCTCCCACAAAGCAGGGCAGCACAAAGCCGACGTCACACCCAGCTCCATACAGCGGTGCAGAGTCCAGTACAGGGGTGAACTTCACCTTCCGGGTCCCCTCCTGACACATGCACAGCTGGGCACTGGGATCTCCTCCTGCCTTTCTCTGCTCTTCTCCTCTCCTCTATATGTGTGTGTGCGTGTGTGTACAGATATGAATCACTCCTCAGGTGCCTTTGCCTTTTTATTTTTTTTAAATGACCCTTGCAGTGTTTT